ACTATTGTTTTTATAAAGTTGCGTCAGACAATTATTAGACTTTCCGTGTAATATTTGGCAAATACATTGATTGTAGAATTGATGCTCGAGCACATTTTTTTGTGTATACACATTTTTATATTACGTTTTTACCGAAAATAAATTACTGCTTCTCACTATTATTTTTGTATGAGCAGGAAAATACAGTTATAAGTAATAAAATAACAGTTAATACCTAAAAACGTTTCCTCGGATTTTTCCAGACACCATTGTTACTTACTACGTACAATATTCTTTTAGAAATCATGTTCTTTTAACTAGCGACAATAGAATACGTTGTCGTCTGTTAATTAACCGACTATAGTTTTAATAGGTTTGTAAGACATGCCTTGTATAGTTGTATGACACGTGCTACGTCTCAGTATGAAATTAATCATCGCCTAGGTATTAATTGCCACTTTAAACAACCTTGAACATCGATGGTGCTCATTGATGGGATTTTTCATTAGTTACCTAAACTATGAAGTTCTTTAGGGTTTATTTACCTTTGTCATTAAACTCTTCCCTAGTAAGCTCATTAGTACCAAACTGTATCTACATTGAAAATACAATTCACATTTTTTGGAATTTATTCAATTAAATTTAATCGCCGTCACATTAGCTAACTTATTCGTTGGGTTTAGTGAGTTATTAACAGTTTTTTGTTTGTATTATTCAAAGTTTTTTATTAATTCACTCAGTACATTTCCAGTGTATTACAGTAGCGAATGAGCATTGAAATAATGATAATCATGCCTATTATTATACCTTCCTGCTAACCAAAGTGTGGGCGTCGATCTCAAATAAAGTTAATTTGTGGATTCATGGTTCAGGGACAATTTGACCATTGCTTTTAAATTTAAATCACCGTGTTATGTCAACGTTAAACACTAGCATTATGTCACAACCGATTAACCAGCCATTACTGCGCGGAACGAGATAGCGAAGTATGCAAATGATTGCGACACAATCACACTTGTTGGAATGCCAATAAATGACTGAATTTCAACCTTATTGTTACATACTTAAGTTGAAGTTACAAAAATAGATATTTAGTTTTAGAGTCTATTATTGCAATCGTGACTAATCTAGAAACAATTGAAAGTATTGAGACTTCTAGTTGTCCGTCAAAATGTTGATTCATAGTTTTACATCACATGAGAGACAGAATCAATTGTTTACAGATTTATGGACATGTTCGGACATGGATGAATAATTTTGTTCATGACTGGCATGATGGGAAAAAAAGAGATGAAGTAACTGGGTAGGTAACTACTGATACTGATATATTTGACAATGAAAACTGAATAACAAAAAGACTACTTAATAGAAAATTAAAATAAAAGTGTACATTTATGGACGAAACAACAAAAAATATGTATTTTACTATTTCTAGAGGTATTTAAACAATAGATGCAACTAGGGGTATATCCTTATTAAACTTACATATTTATAATACCTATTCGTTAGACTGTTCAAGTTCGAGTACACTCTTGAGTACATTTGCACCAATATTGTCATGGCGCATGGCATCTTCAATTATCGTCAGCGGTTGGTGTGATTAAATCTATTTAATTTTCTTTGTAACTAGCGTTTCTTTTTGTTAACGAATGTTTGTTTATAAATCCTTACATTTGCTGTGTTTCCATCCGGTTTATTTACCCAAACGTGTTATTTTTCAAATAAAACAATGGAATTTGCAACTCGCAAAAATGCTGTCTTCGTAAAATACAATAAGTGCTGCCTCAAGCTTTCATTGGTTTTTATATTTTTCCTGCAAGTGTAAAGAAAAGATGTTTGTTCTATGTAATCGTAGAATTAATCGTTATGCATAATTGGGTAATTGCCAACTAGTCAAAATCAATACTTTTTTCGAACTGTCAAAAACGACAGTTTTCTATGAATTTTGTACGAGATTGTGTATTGTGACGTCACGTTTTTTAGCGTCAACCATCATACTTATTTCTTAAAACATTTCTGGAAAAATATTAAAATTAAGTTGGTCATAAAATCAATGGAAGTGTGATTATTTTTTAATATTTTGTCAATTAAAATCTCTTTACTTCATGTTATAATATGTATATAATTTCGTGATGTTTAGAAAAAAACTACTGAGCTATGCACAGGTAGTAGCTGGCTGGTGACAACAATTAAGTCAATGCTGTGATTGTCAAACACAAAAACTACCTACCTACCTATAGTATACTAGCCAATGTATCTTGTAATACATGCTTAAAACATCAGTACCGCTTTTAAGAATGCAATACAGTTATTCATTCCACTTTCAAATTACCTGCTGTATACTTCATTCCACGCATATCATTTCCTGATTCGCCAATATTGACATATATTTCGATGCAAAAGACAATCGCAATATACAGCCAAAGGCCTTTGCTGTACGCAAGGGGACTACCAATAATATCCTTATATAAAAACCTTGGTAAACAATTTTCATCGCTACACTGAAGAAGATAACGTTGATTTTAGATTAGAGTTTTTAGGCTATAAAAATAAATAGCCCCATTGTGTATTATGGTGAACGCGTATATAGAATCTACTCTGCAAATTTCGATGTATATAAACGATGAATCATCATTTCATAAAAAGTAGGTAAGTACCTATCTACTAACGCCTTTTTTCTCAATGATTCTCATCTTGAAGGCTTTGACGTTTAAGTTATTCTTTTTTTTTTGTTTTTTTTTTATATACTGAACGTGATGCAATGATATTCGGTTATCGGAAATCTTGACGACATTCAGTCGTTTACTTCTTACGATGTCTTGGAAAATCTCCGAGAATTTTCTAATTGTATTATGTGTCACTATTTAATTTGAATATTTTAATACGTAGACGTCGTTATTGCATAAGATTTTTAAGTAACTAGTTGTATTTTTAAGTTTAATTTGATGAAAATTGTATTTTTACAACATAACAGAGACGTAGTAGACAATCCCATACTCTATGCAAATGTATATGTATTGTTGAATAAAATGCGTATTTATTCAAGTCTATTGCGTACTATAGTACGGTGGATTAACAAGCAGAATAAGATAAGAATAAAATGCTAACTGTATAAACAAATAAAATCACAAACAAACATAAACAAATGCTTTTCAGTTACCAATAATACGTAACATGCATTAAAATTCTGTCCTTTAATATTTTATATAAAACTGCAAATTAAACCTTATACCATTCAAAATAACCTATATATTAATTTACCTTTGTTACTTTGTGACTGATAAGCGTAAAGCTTTTATACCTGGGTTCAATACTCGTGTCGTGCTAATTGTGCTCGATTTGAAATCTAAATGGGTCAGATAAGGATTTCTGATATCTGCTGTACTATAGCTATGGATGATGGATGTAAAATTAAACAAGCTTTAGCACTTACTACGCATATTTTTAGAAATCATATCTGATATTAGATAAGTACTAAGTATAATATGTAGTCAAAAACAAACAAATTATTTTAATAACTAGGTTTCCCATATTTAAATATTGAATATTGTTTTGAAAAAGATCAATGACATAAGCGAACAACATAAATTCATTCAAATAAACAATTATAAAACATTTTTGAAACCGCGTTTACAAAAATAAAAACAGAACGTATAAAATAAACAAAACGTAGTATTATCTAGTTGAATTAAGTACGTACTGTATTCAAGCAAGTAAAACATATATTAAAAATATTTATATAAATATTATATTGGTCTATCGCTACTAAACAATTCATAACGAACAACTTTCGAATTTAAAATCACGCATAGCAACCGTGTCCTAAGTAAGTACTCATACACCGAAACAAAATAAAGTCAGCTGTTTCAAGAATATAAAAAATTCTGATTCGTAGATATATATTTCTATGAATAATCCGTATATTACTCATCGTAGTGCAGGATGCATAAAATTATAAGAAAACGTAAATTTACGTTACAAACACGTGTATACTTCGGATATAGGTAAATAACTTTGATGAAGGATAAATCATTACTGAAACAAACATCAGATTTATAGCTAAAGAGATTTTTTGTTGGTTTCATTTGTTTGAGCTAAACTCTGAAACTGCTAGTTCGATCGTGAGCAAATTAATAGTCAAAGTCAAAGCGTTTATTGCAACTAAGTGTACAGATGATGGTTACGGAATAATTATAGCGTTTAGGACTTAGCGGCCTTTGACAGACATTGCTATATTTTTAGATAAATATATTCATTGTTATTAACATTAGCACTACCAATATTTTTATATCATATAGTTATAAACTTTGTTTATAATATGTTTCTTTATTAATTCCGACTTTTATTGTAATAAAAGTGTAAATGATGGGATACTGTTTGTACACTTTTTTGTTACAACCTAATCATTAATATCGAAAATCAACTTTATTCCCTTTGTTTTGTAGTCTTGATTGCATCAAAACAATAACAAAATTGCAAATCATTAATCGGTTCACGTGTTTTCAATAAAATGGTTGTTGTACTTTTATTTTGTTGTTGAGTTTCAATTTATTGTTATCAATGAGCGTCCCAATAACGTTCAATGCCATCAGTTTTATTGAATAAAGGTACTTGTAACCAATTTGAGGTTAGCTAATGTGCTCATTCCAGATATTATAAATAGTTTAGACACTTGAATCCTACCAAGACTTCGTCATTCTCCTAAATACTGAATGAAAATTACAATATAGAGAAAAATCTTATTTATTTATGAGGCCTTTTGATATATATTTGGATGAAACGGAGGCAATTAGCGCCCTGGTACTAAATTCAGGTACTCTAAGTATTGTTAACTTATCGAAACAAACATTCGAAGTGTGATACTCTATAACACAACCAATAACAATGTACGTATTACACGTGAAACAAATGTTTCAGAGACCTCGTACCGAACCTTGAACACTTAGGTACATGTATAATGAAAAACTTATACCTCTACATAAGTACTTATTAACATAAAATAAAATAATGTAAAAACTTACCTTCATATATGGACCTATCATAAAGAATCTTTGTTTATTGTTTCGCGAAATACAATTTCACGAAACCGTAAATGTCAAATTATTTAGAGTTTTGTTCCACTAGAGTTTTTATAACTAAGTTTCACAGCAAAATAATATCACAGGATTTTTGTACGCGATAACGTAGACACTGTAAGCATGTGGTTCTTAGAGTCACAACTTAACACGTGATCCAGTTAATAAATTAAAGCAAAGTGTTAATACTATTTCTTTTTAGGCATTATTTAAACTGCACCAATAGCTGGCGAGGAACTTGAATTCAGAACGTGCGCTTTTCAATTTGCGGCGGGAAAACTGTTCGCTTGCGCGCGACGCGAATGTCTACCGTGTGTTGTCTGAGCGGTGACTGGCTGAATGCCGCTAAACCAACCACACTTGTATATTCGCGGGCGTTAAAAAATAAATACGTCGAGGTGCGATGATTGAAGACTCGTTTCAAAGGAATTATCTAACCGGTGTTTCCAATACACGATGCGGGTAACTCTAATGGCGCCAAAGGATTCCTTTCACGCTTTTAAAGTTGAGCAAAAAATTCTCGTCAAGTCCGTCTACCGCACCCAATACTTAGGCTGGAATTTAGATTACTGTGAATACTTAGAAACGCTAACAATTTCTAGCGCCAGTGTTTAGAAATCGGACTATTAGTTCACATTGTATGCTGATGTTGTTTACTATGCTACACGCTACAGACAGAGACAGCTACCATCTGTGTAATTTGGTGTTTGGTGATTATAATCTATCTTAGCTCCATTTAACCGAAACATTTTATTGGACGTGAAACCAATTTTGTTAATAGAAAGTGTTAAAAATACAAATACTAACTATGGTGTTGTAGGCACACAAAGTAATATTGTTCACAACGAGGAAGTTCCAAAAATAACTGATAAAACGTTGGAAGTTCACAAATATTCTCTCACGTATACAAGATAAATATAAAAGAGACAACAATTGTGACTAAAGCGATTTCCCTTGAACACTCACGACAATACCGTGTCACACATAATTTTCAAAAGACTTTAACACTGATTAAGGTGCTTCGTGCGTTGTTAAGAACTAAAGCGTCAAACGTCCATACTAATGGAACCGTATTTCGATCGAATTCCAACCAATAACCGTAACTTTCAACAAAATAATGTGAGAAATGAATCCCTTGAAATACTCAGTAAAGTAGTTTAGTATTCGATGATCACTGCCTACTTAACACAGCCTTGCGGTAGATAATTACTTCTCGTGATAAAACATAAAAAGGCTAATTTTAGCTGACACTCATTATATTCCTGCATAAGTAATGCTTACGTTTGACAGCCTCCTTGGCCGAGTGGTCGCAAGTGCGACTGTCGGGCAAGGGGTCTCGGGTCGATTCCCGGGTCGGGTAAAGAATTATTGAGTTTAAAAAAAATTCACAGTAGTAGCACGGAGTCTGGAATTGTGCCCGGTATATGGCAATAGGCTCACCCCCTATTACATGGGACTCATAAC